CTGTTATTTTTGTTCTCCGCAGCCGTAATATGCACTCTGTAACAACAATATTTGGGAAAATATATCAAATACAGCTCAGAAATACATTTGCCAATTTTTTTCGAGATCGGTTCAGATTTGGATATATCTCCCATATATAACTTCGTCCGATTTACCTTTGATTGTGCACCAAACGTCTAATATTTGCCCAAATGGGATGGAATTTTGCACTTACGACCGAATTGAGTCTAGAAGCTAGTATGCCAAATTTGATCGAAATCAATTCAGATATAGCTATAGCTCCCATATATATTGTTCTTCCGATTTTTAATTTTTGTCCTCCGCAGCCGTAATATGCACTCTGTAACAACAATATTTGGGAAAATATATCAAATATAGCTCAGAAATACATTTGCTAAATTTCATCGAGATCGCTTCCGATTTCGATATATCTCCCATATATAACTTCGTCCGATTTACCTTTTATTGTGCACCAAACGTCTAATATTTGCCCAAATGGGATGGAATTTGGCACTTACGACCGAATTGAGTCTAGAAGCTGGTATGTGAAATTTGGTGAAGATTGGGGTTCAGATATAGCTATAACTCCCATATATACTGTCCGATCCGATTTGTTATTTTTGTCCTCCGCAGCCGTAATATGCACTTTGTAACAACAATATTTGGGAAAATATATCAAATACAGCTCAGAAATATTTTTGCCAAATTTTATCGAAATCGGTTCAGATTTGGATATATCTCCCATATATAACTTCTTCCGATTTACCTTCTATTGTACACCAAACGTCTAATATTTGTCCAAATTGGATGGAATTTGGCACTAACGACCGAATTGAGTCTAGAAGCTAGTATGTCAAATTTGGTGAAGATCGGGGTTCAGATATAGCTATAGCTCCCATATATATATAGTTCATCCGATTTGTTATTTTTGTCCTAAGCAGCCGTAATATGCACTCTGTGACAACGATATTTGGGGAAATATATCAAATACAGCTCAGAAATACATTTGCCAATTTTTTTCGATATCGGTTCAGACTTGGATATAGCTCCCATATATAACTTCGTCCGATTTACCTTTGATTGTGCACCAAACGTCTAATATTTGTCCAAATGGGATGGAATTTGGCTTTGATTGAATTCTCCCATAAAAACTTTTAATTGTTATGTGGAGCTCTACTAAATTCGCAAAGTGGTGTAGGGTATCACAAAGTCGGACCCGCCCGACTTTAGGACTTTCTTTACTGTTTTTTTTTTTTTTTTGCCAAATGTTCGCATGTTTTTTATTTATTTATTTTTTTTTTTAATTTTTTTTCTCGTTGAGATTTTCTGTTCTCATTGATTTGTTTGGAGCGCGTGCATGTTTGAGCGTACACAAACCACAAAACAATTGACCAGAAAAAAAATCGAAATATTGTTTTCCTCTTCTTCTAAATTTATGCCGACAAAATGAAAGACACAAGCGATTTGTCTAAAATTAAATAACATTTCAGTGTTCATGTGCACACTTGAAATGTTCTGGTTCTGGTACACATGTAGACATACAAATGTGTGTGGATCGATGTACAAACATATGTGTGTGGACACGCTTCATTTTTTATCAATATTTCCGGAAAATGAGGAATAAAAAAATTTGAAAAATCGAAAAACTAAATTTTCCTATCCTCTAATTTATTAAATTGTTAGAAATTTTAATTCGGCTTTAAGATAAGCTTCCACGAAGTCTAGATACCTACCCCAGAGATTCGACTCTCCGTAACGAGATATAAACGTTGGCATCTAGAATTAGCAAGGATATATCTATTATGAGTATTTTTCAACTTCAGATGATGATAAAGTTAGGTCAATCCCATGACCATCAGGTGCATACCGGGTTTCTCAGATCTCAATTTCAATTCTAACGAATTTTCTGGAAAATTCAAAAATATTTTCTACCAAATAAAATTTATTGGAAATAAATTTCACTTCAGTTTCCTAACTATTTCATGAAGAAACCTCCTTCAGGACTTCTATGAAAAGGCCATCTTTCACGACTTCTATGAGAAGGTCTTTTTCAGGACTTCTATTTGAATATTTATGGATTTCTATGGGAAGACCTTCAAGGTATTCTATAAGAAGACCTCCAAATGTAGAATCTATGCTAAAATTTGAACCTTATTGACAGACTTCCATCAAATTTACCTTTTTTTGGGTTATATATTTTCTAAATGATGAACAGTACAGGATGAGATAAAAAAAAACTGCACTAAAGTCAAACGCCATAATTTTTAAATGTTTATACCCTTCACCATAGTATGGAGGGTATATTAAGGTTGTCATTCCGTTAGTAACACCTCGAAATATACATTTTAGACCACACGAAGTATGTATATATCTTGATCAGCATAAAATTCTATGTCGATTTATCTATCCGCCTACCCGTCTGTGGAAAACACTCTAGCTTCCGAACGAAATGAAGTAAGTTGATAAAAATTTACTCAAATGTACATTATGTCTGAAGGACTTTTGGTATTGAAAATGGGCCATGTAGGTCCACGTCTTCGTATAGCCCCCATATAAGGGTACCTCCCGATATTCGGTATTTTGATGATTTTAACGACATTATTCACCGAAATTGGTTCAAATTTGGTATTTGAAGTTCGTAATGGACACTACAGCCTGAGACACAAAATTGTCTGTGCAGGTCCACGAAGCGTGATAATGTGATTTCTTTATATTTGGCTGGAAAACCACCAACTAAGTGGCTAGAGTGGCTAGAGCACTCCAGCATTTAAATGTGAATAAATCTTTTGTGTCTCGTACCATCCCGTGATACTGGTAGCGTAGCCCGACATATGTCACGGAAGTGGACGGAAGAAAACAGCAACATCAGCAGAAACGGTTCGAAAAGTAAAGAAGTGACTTGATCGAAGCCCGCGTCACAGTGGCCGAAAAATGGTTGTGAACTGAAGATATCGCAATATTCCATTTGGCAAATATTAAAAAATGGGCTCGGGGTAAAGCCATTAAAATTCCAAAAAGTGAGGAACACCGCAAAAGAAAGAAAATGTACTCAAAAGAGCTAAAGAGGTGCTTCGCTTGGTCGAAAGTGGTGAATTTTCGAATTTGGTTTTCTCCGATGAGAAAACATTCGTTGTCCAGCAGTTTATAAACAACAACAACAAAATGATCGTGTTTACTTGCCAAAGAGGTCAGCTAAAAATGTGCACCTTCGGTTGGCCACCAGAACTCAAGCGCCGGTCATGGTGATGGTGTGGGCCGCCATAACAGCCGATGATCGCTCTACGCTCGTATTAAGCACCGTGGCATCAGAATATATGCCGAATATTATCGCGAAAACATTCTGGAGGGTGTACTAACGTCTTGGGCACGCAAACATTTTGGCCGCAGAACTTGGACATTCCAGTAGGACTCCAACACCACCACCAGAACTCAATCGCCGGTAATGGTGATGGTGTGGGCCGCCATAACAGACGATGGTCGTTATGGCTCTCCGCTCGTATTAATCGACCGTGGCATCAGAATAAATGCCGAATATTATTGCGAAAATATTCTGGAGGGTGTATTAAAGCCATGGGCAGGCAAACACTTTGGCCGCAGACCTTAGATATTCCAAACAGGACTCTGCACCATCGCTCTCAGCACGCGCCACCCAAGAATGGTTACAAAATGAGGTTCCTCGCTTCATTTCCAGTGCACAATGGCACCAAAATCTCCGGATACCAAACCGTTGGACTATTGTGTCTGGAGTATTTTGGAAAGCAAGGTTGGCACTAAAAAAATACCAAAATGTCGATCACCTCAAACAAGCGCTTCGCCGGGAATGGGCCAAAATACCGCAGAGCAATATTCGGGCGGCGTGTGACGGTTTCATTGGCCGTTTGAAGGCCATATTTCGTGCCAAAGCTGACCAATTCGAACAAATCTAAATTTATTCTAAAATTTGATGCTATTTCCGACATTTTTTGCTTTCTTTCAATAGAATTTAAAATAAATTATGGCGTTTGACTTTGTTGCAGTTTTTTTTATCTTCCTTGTATATCGGTCCACACCTTCTGGTACCTCCCCCACAAAGGGTCAAAATTTTGAATATCCATGAAACTCATAAAACGCAAAACTGACATCCGATTCCATTCAGACTTGGCACATCTTAATATTTCCATCAACACAAGATTTTTTATAGGGATGGTCGAGATAGGACCATTCCTTTTGGTACCTCCCCCACAAAGGGTCAAAGTTTTGAATAACCAAAACGATTATAAAATCCGAAATAAGCAGCCGGTTCTCTTCACACTTCACACATCCTATTATTTCTCCTAACACAAGACATGCTGTGATGATGGGCTATATCGGTTCACTCCTTCTGATACCTACCCCACAAAATTTCAAGATTTTCAAAGAAAATAATTTACTGCACAGAAAGAGAAATTATAATCCGATTTTATTCCAAATTTTGCAAATCCTAATATTTGCACCAGTGCTATGTCAGGTGCGAAAATGGGCAATATTGGTCCACTCCATCAAGTACCTCCCCCACAAAGGGTCAACGAAATATGCATTATATGTCGTCAAATTGGTGTTCCTAATTTTTATTATTTTTATTTTGTTTTTAAAATCCCTTTCTGTTGCCTTTGCTGTTGTTAGTTTGATTTAAAACCAAAAAAAAAAAAAAAATAAATAAATAAATAAATAAAAATAAGTGATTTTCATGTGCTAAATATTGTTCTTTGTTACCCTCCACATATATATAAACACATACCTACACATTTTTCCGGCCTTAATCGCTGACTGACGGCTGGGACTCTTTCTCTTCATTTTGATGTGTCCCGTGGTGTTCTTTGCCTCCCCAAACATTTGTTTCGGTGTCTGCCATTCATTTTGTCTTTAATTTTGTGGATAAACAAAACGGCAAAACAAAAACAAAACTAATAGCAAAAAACAAACAAACAAAATCAACTGAAGGAAAAAATTAAACAAAGAAAAATTAAAATAAAATAAAACAAAACAGAAGCTAAATAACAACAAATCAAAAAAAAAGAAGAAAAAAAGAAGAAAAAAACGTAAAAGAAATTCGCAACACAAACACTGCAAAAATGAGTAGCAGGAGAGTTTTTAAAATCAACGGTGGACTCTCAAGAATAATCAACTGTTATTGAGTTAACTCTGTGTTTAACAAGCAACAACAAGAAATTAATGCAACAATAATAAAAATAACAACAACAACTAACTACAAAATCTGTTGTGAATCTAAAACAACAACTTAAATGTAAACTCAAACTCTAACTAAACTTCCAAAAGAGCCTTGCCTCGCGCGCCTTTTTTTCTCTCTACCGCTCTACTCCTCTCTGTCTCTCCCGTTCACCATTAATACATTTGGCTCCCTTGAATACTCACGATTTGTCTCCCTACGGTTTTTGTGTGTGTGGCAGAGCGTCGCCTCTATGTGAATCAAAAACCTAAAGAATTACAACTACAATTTCCCCTTTCCCACAACCTTTGCCACGGTTCTCTTCTTTACCAAAACACACCGTTTTTGTGGAAGAGAAGCGCCTTCCCTTGCCCTGGTAATCTCACTAACTGATATTGTCCAGACAAGAACAACAACAAGAGCAGCAGCAGTAAAACCTCAAAAAACAAAAGCAACCAAAATCACAAAACAACACCCACCAGTCATGGATCATAAATCAATTGCCAGTCAAGTGAGGGGTAAGATTACCGACAATGATATGAATACTCAGGCGTACAGTGAGGCGTGGCTATAGGGAATACAATTGAAAAAAAAAACAAGAATTCAAACTGAATTTGGAAGAAATTATTAAAAAAAAATATGAAAAAAATTATAAAATATTAGAAAAATTAAATTTTTTTCTAAAAATCTGAAAAAATCAGATGTACATTATAGCCGTGTTTCACTGTATCTCCACTCAATTATTATACGTGTTCTTTTAATTTGCAAAAGTATAATGCACATTAATGATATGTGACAGAAAAGTGTTTTAGAGAAAAATGTTTTTTTTTTTAATTTTATCATTTTTGGTCTGTTTTCATTTTTTTCTTTGGTTTTGGTTTTGTTTTGTTTTGGCTATTCTGCCAAGAGGTTATTTTGAGTTAAGTGTTTCAAACAGACCTAAACAAACAAAACATATGGCGTGTCACTCTCTTAAATGTCATACATGGCGTATTATTTATTTGGCAGAGTGATTGATCATACGACCTAGTGGGCGATTCAGAATTATTCAAGGACCAAAAGAAACGTGGATTTTTTAAAGAATATTTTTTCAAGGAACAAAAGAAACGTGGATTTTTTAAAGAATATTTTTTCATGGACCAAAAAAACGTGGATTCTTTAAAGAATATTTTTTCAAGGACCAAAAGAAACGTGGATTTTTTAAAGGATATTTTTTCAAGGACCAAAAGAAACGTGGATTTTTTAAAGAATATTTTTTCAAGGACCAAAAGAAACGTGGATTTTTTAAAGAATATTTTTTCATGGACCAAAAAAACGTGGATTCTTTAAAGAATATTTTTTCAAGGACCAAAAGAAACGTGGATTTTTTAAAGAATATTTTTTCAAGGACCAAAAGAAACGTGGATTTTTTAAAGAATATTTTTTCAAGGACCAAAAGAAACGTGGATTTTTTAAAGAATATTTCTTCAAGGACCCAAAAAACGTAGATTTTTTTAAAGAATAATTTTTCAAGGACCGAAAAAACTTAGATTTTTTTAAAGAATATTTTTTCAAGGAGCAAAAGAAACGTGGACTTTTAAAAAATATTTTTTCAAGGACCAAAAGAAACGTGGATTTTTTAAAGAATATTTCTTCAAGGACCCAAAAAACGTAGATTTTTTTAAAGAATAATTTTTCAAGGACCGAAAAAACTTAGATTTTTTTAAAGAATATTTTTTCAAGGAGCAAAAGAAACGTGGACTTTTAAAAAATATTTTTTCAAGGACCCAAAAAACGTAGATTTTTTTAAAGAATATTTTTTCATGGACCAAAAAAACGTGGATTCTTTAAAGAATATTTTTTCAAGGACCAAAAGAAACGTGGATTTTTTAAAGAATATTTTTTCAAGGACCAAAAGAAACGTGGATTTTTTAAAGAATATTTTTTCAAGGATCAAAAATAAACGCCAATTTTTTAAAGAATATTTTTTCAAGGATCAAAAATAAACGTAAATTTTTTAAAGAATATTTTTTCAAGGACCAAAAGAAACGTGGATTTTTTAAAGAATATTTTTTCAAGGATAATAATAAACGTGGATTTTTTAAAGAATATTTTTTCAAGGATAATAATAAACGTGGATTTTTTAAAGAATATTTTTTCAAGGATAATAATAAACGTGGATTTTTTAAAGAATATTTTTTCAAGGATAATAATAAACGTGGATTTTTTAAAGAATATTTTTTTAAGGACCAAAGAACAAATAACCATGGATTTTTTAAAGAATATTTTTTCAAGGATAATAATAAACGTGGATTTTTTAAAGAATATTTTTTTAAGGACCAAAGAACAAATAACCATGGATTTTTTAAAGAATATTTTTTCAAGGATAATAATAAACGTGGATTTTTTAAAGAATATTTTTTTAAGGACCAAAGAACAAATAACCATGGATTTTTTAAAGAGTATTTTTTCAAGGATAATAATAAACGTGGATTTTTTAAAGAATATTTTTTTAAGGACCAAAGAACAAATAACCATGGATTTTTTAAAGAATATTTTTTCAAGGACCAAAAGAAACGTGGATTTTTTAAAGAATATTTTTTTAAAGGACCAAAAGAAACGTGGATTTTTTACAGAATATTTTTTCAAGGACCGAAAGAAACGTGGATTTTTTAAAGAATATTTTTTCAAGGATAATAATAAACGTGGATTTTTAAAGAATATTTTTTCAAGGATAATAATAAACGTGGATTTTTAAAGAATATTTTTTCAAGGATAATAATAAACGTGGATTTTTTAAAGAATATTTTTTCAAGGATAATAATTAACGTGGATTTTTTAAAGAATATTTTTTCAAGGATAATAGTAAACGTGGATTTTATAAAGAATATTTTTTCAAGTATCCAAATAAACGTGGATTTTTAAAGAATATTTTTTCAAGGATAATAATAAACGTAGATTTTTTAAAGAATATTTTTTCAAGGATAATAATTAACGTGGATTTTTTAAAGAATATTTTTTCAAGGATAATAGTAAACGTGGATTTTATAAAGAATATTTTTTCAAGTATCCAAATAAACGTGGATTTTTAAAGAATATTTTTTCAAGGATAATAATAAACGTAGATTTTTTAAAGAATATTTTTTCAAGGATAATAATTAACGTGGATTTTTTAAAGAATATTTTTTCAAGGATAATAGTAAACGTGGATTTTATAAAGAATATTTTTTCAAGTATCCAAATAAACGTGGATTTTTAAAGAATATTTTTTCAAGGATAATAATAAACGTAGATTTTTTAAAGAATATTTTTTCAAGGATAATAATTAACGTGGATTTTTTAAAGAATATTTTTTCAAGGATAATAGTAAACGTGGATTTTATAAAGAATATTTTTTCAAGTATCCAAATAAACGTGGATTTTTAAAGAATATTTTTTCAAGGATAATAATAAACGTAGATTTTTTAAAGAATATTTTTTCAAGGATAATAATTAACGTGGATTTTTTAAAGAATATTTTTTCAAGGATAATAGTAAACGTGGATTTTATAAAGAATATTTTTTCAAGTATCCAAATAAACGTGGATTTTTAAAGAATATTTTTTCAAGGATAATAATAAACGTAGATTTTTTAAAGAATATTTTTTCAAGGATAATAATTAACGTGGATTTTTTAAAGAATATTTTTTCAAGGATAATAGTAAACGTGGATTTTATAAAGAATATTTTTTCAAGTATCCAAATAAACGTGGATTTTTAAAGAATATTTTTTCAAGGATAATAATAAACGTAGATTTTTTAAAGAATATTTTTTCAAGGATAATAATTAACGTGGATTTTTTAAAGAATATTTTTTCAAGGATAATAGTAAACGTGGATTTTATAAAGAATATTTTTTCAAGTATCCAAATAAACGTGGATTTTTAAAGAATATTTTTTCAAGGATAATAATAAACGTAGATTTTTTAAAGAATATTTTTTCAAGGATAATAATTAACGTGGATTTTTTAAAGAATATTTTTTCAAGGATAATAGTAAACGTGGATTTTATAAAGAATATTTTTTCAAGTATCCAAATAAACGTGGATTTTTAAAGAATATTTTTTCAAGGATAATAATAAACGTAGATTTTTTAAAGAATATTTTTTCAAGGATAATAATTAACGTGGATTTTTTAAAGAATATTTTTTCAAGGATAATAGTAAACGTGGATTTTATAAAGAATATTTTTTCAAGTATCCAAATAAACGTGGATTTTTTAAAGAATATTTTTTCAAGGATAATAATAAACGTGGATTTTTTAAAGAATATTTTTTCAAGGATAATAATAAACGTGGATTTTTTAAAAAATATTTTTTCAAGTATCCAAATAAACGTGGATTTTTTTTAAGAATATTTTTTCAAATATCCAAATAAACGTGGTTTTTTTAAAAAATATTTTTTCAAGTATCCAAATAAACGTGGATTTTTTTTAAGAATATTTTTTCAAGTATCCAAATAAACGTGGTTTTTTTAAAAAATATTTTTTCAAGTATCCAAATAAACGTGGTTTTTTTAAAAAATATTTTTTCAAGTATCCAAATAAACGTGGATTTTTTTTTATATTTTTTTGAGATTCGACATGGATTTTTAGGGAACATATTTTCAATATTTTTTTGGGGATCAACATGGATTCTTAAATAATATTTTTTCATGGATCCATAGCAACGTCGTCAATTTTATATAGTACTGGTATCAATGTGGATTTTTCAGGGAATATCTTTTCAAGGTCCAATTCAAGGGGATTGTTTTAAATATATTTTTTTCCGAAGAATGAATTTTTTAAGAATTTATTTTCGAGGAAGTTAAAAGTTGCTTGTTTTCCACAAAACCGTATTTGTTTCTTTTTATCCTAAGTATTTCAAAAATATATTTTCAACCGATCAAAAATCCTAAATTGTTTAAATTGTTTTGCCAAAAATCAAGGACATTTTAAAAAGGATTTCCCTAAGATCTGGAATATTAAAGGTATATATTTTCATATTTACGGACAAAATTATCAAAATAGAGCTAAAAAAAAAACTCTAAAAAAATTACATAGCACATATATCCTTGATCAGCATGAGATTCTATGTAGATTTAGCCATATCCATTCGTCCGTCAGTATTTTCTGAAACTTGGTATTTGGGCACCGTCCTCACTGGCAGATAATTGATTAAAGAGGTCCACGTTTTCCTATAGTCCCAAATTTAACGGAATTTTCAAAATAACTTTTTTATATTCTGAAAGTTTCTTCTAAATTGTGGAGAGTATTAAAGTTTCCCCCCGTCGAACTTAGGTGCCTTTTTCCCTATTTTTTTTTTTTTATTTTTTTTTTTTTCATCAAGGATCTATAAACTTGGATTTTTTTTAATTACTTTTCGCAAGGGTAAATCTTTGTGTGTTTATAAAGAATATTTTTTCCCAGAATCAAATATTAATTGTTTAAGCGCCTAAAAGTGTGCTATAAAAATCTAAATAGACCACTGTGCAAATAGGCCACTTTAAATATGATTCCTAT